AAAAAGCTTCTACCAAGAACGCGATCTCAAGCACGATGTGCAAACTCTAGATTGTATGCTTGCATGTAACTATGTCTACTAACTAAAAGCGTGTTTTTAATCAGGTAAAAAAGACATGATCAAATAAACTTCCTACAATGTTGAGTCAAGATACTAGAAGCCTTTTAAGTGAATTACATATATGTGCGTGCGTGTCGTGCAAGAGAAGTTTAGTACTCCGCGTGCAATCATAAATTTTAGGAACACACAGTGCAATTTGAGTTCACGCAGATTTGCAACTTTGAATCACCATATAACTTTGTCGAAAATTAATATTTATAGGCAAATTTCTTTTCTAATACAGAAAAACTTCAGTTTAATAAAACAGTGGCGCGATAAAATCACAATCTGCAAACAGATTTGCACAGTTTTGAAGTTTTTCCGAGACCTTTACGAAAATTAATGAGCAACCGAATATTTACTGAGAGAAAAAGTAGTTAATTTCACCAAAATTATAATTATATTTGCTAATTATCTTCTCCATATTCTAATAAAAAAAATAGTAATAGTAATATACGTGTAAAATTATTATTTCTAACACTATTATAATATTTTATACGAAATTGTTATTCTGATTATAATTCTTTCACTTTATTCTAATCACGTGCTAAACACTTTTTTTTTAGTGCTCATTCGGGTTTCACAGCTTGAAAAAAAATGCTTGATATTTGTAACTATAAGTATATAGAAAGATACTATAAATTATGGTCTCAAGTAAACTATTCTTTTTTATCAAATTCTACTTTAATGTTAGTGATAATAATCTCACACACATGCTAATACTATCATTTTACTACACAAAAATATGATTAGGACCAGAAATAACTATAATTTTAGGATCAATCATTTTTTCTCTCAATGAGCGTTACACGCGGAAGGTTAGATAAACGCAAGAAAGAATCGAAATGAAATACATCAAAGGCTAAGAACTCTCTTGTATGTATCTGTACAACTGCCGCGATCATATCCTCGACACAACTGTGCGCGACTTTAATTTGTCCACAATACAAGCAGTGAAGCTTTTTATGAAAGCACTGATGCGTTTTTATACGTCATTGAGCGTGTCAAGAGCGGCGCTGCTTCATCGACGGGACAAGCTTGTTATACGTAAGCCATTGCGACACATTAATGCGTTTTCCCTCCCGGAAGAAAAAAAGAACTGCTTTTCCCGAGTATCATGCACTGAAGCGAACGCGCTTATTGCTAAAAGACGCTCCACGAAAAATGGCATCGCCGAAGCAGGCGCCGTTCCTGTTTTTCCGAGTCGAGCGGCGATACGCCTTTCATATGGGAGGCTCCCTCGTTTGCGTTAACTCGACATCCCGACGGCCATCCTTTCCCATCTACTCGCGGTTGCTCGTCTTCGCCAGGCAATAGCGTCGGCCTCGTATCCAGCCGCTCCCGTTCCACCCCCGTGAGTATGGCAAACGACGGCTTCTCAAAGACCGTCGCTCTCTCTTTCTCTCTCTTCTCTTTTTCATTTCGCCGAGTCGGCCAATTTTTCCTTCCGCGACATACGAGAAGGGAAAAGCTTGCCCCCTCTCAGTCCTCGCCGTTGCAATATCCAGTTACTCGCGACCGCGAAAGCTATCACGTGTATATCGCGAAGAGTGCAAGCACGATCTTTAAAAATAGCTTTCGCGATTTTTCCCGCGGTCGAGTCTTCCCGAATGATTCCCCCATGTATGTTGAAAAAAAAACACATAGGTTCATATTCGGGTATGATGGCCATATGGAAAGGATGGTCATAAGTTGTACTTTCTCTAATAATTCCTGAACAGTACGTTTTAGTACCTGAATATACGCACATAAGCTCCTGTAAATATCGATTGTCTTTGAGAATGACTACAAGAGCGTACTATTTTAGCAATTATTGGAGAAATTACAGCCCATTAGATCGTCTTTTCCGTATGGCCATCATACCTTACGTTTACGCTATTACGCCAACGCGTGATAATCGACGAAATGTTTCTGGCGCGGAGTCGCAGCAGCGCTCGATTCCGAACACCCCTTCCGCGTGTTTTCGAGGAGCCGAACGGAGAAGCCGCTATTTTTCCGACGCATGAGCGCGATGACATAATGCGCCGCCATAAGAGCGCCGAATTACGACGCTGAGTGCGCGCGCGACCGCGCACACACACACACACACATACACACACGCACACACACATCACAACCTACGTGCAGTGCGCGCGTGCGCTTTCAAGCCTCCGCGCCACTCTGTGTTGCAGCGCTATGTGTACGCTGTACGTGCGTGTATGCGTAGCTGAGGCGCGTGTGCGGCCCCGCGGTGACCTTGAGCCTCCCTCTAGGAACCCCCTCCTCCATCCCCCTTCCACCGTACCGCGTGCGTTTTGCCTCCACGCGATACCGCGATCCCCACCTTGCCGATGCGTATGTCTCCCACCGCCTCCTCCTCCTCCTCCTCCTCTTTTTTTTTCACCTCCTCCTCCTCCTCCTCTGCCTCCCCCTGCGTCACCTCTCGCCCTCCTTTCGCGGTTCCGGAGCCACGCAACTCGCGAGAGGCGCCTCCAACGCCTAAAATTCCCCTCCGCCTCCGCTTCTGGTGCCGGAGGTTCCTAGCGATGGGCATCGATCGCCGCCGTTGCTGGTGATTTTTAATCAGACCGAGGTGCGCGAGGTGCGCTCGATATTGGTATATCAGTATGACCCAGGCAGTTCTCCACCCCCGCCGAGAACGCGAGTAATTTCACGGCATGATGGACAGGTTGAACTTGGACGGACTGCGCGTCCGGTATCTGCGCGTTTACGTGTCGCTTCAAGGTTGCCGCGCTGCTCGCGCTCCTGGATACTCTCTTCCTACCCGCGCGAATCCCGCGAATGGCGTTTCGCGTTCGTGATGCGGCCCTGGCACATGTTGGATGAAGAGCGCGCAGTGGGGACTCGTGATACCTTAGAAGCGTTAGGGGGGAGGATACATTCGAAAATAAGACGAACGTGACAGAGGGAGGAAGAGAGAAAGAGAGAGAGGTAGAGAAGGAGGGAGCGCATCGGAGTGGCGCATGAGAGAGTCCAAGAGAGCGAGGGTTCTCCAGTTCGGAGAAAAAGAAGAAAAAAGAATGCGAGAAAGAGAGAGAAAGAGAACATAGAGGACCGCGAGGCGAAGCTCCGAACCTTAAGCAATCGTGCCGATCCCTACCCCTGCCGCCCACCCAGTTCCCTTTCCTACGGGGGTTCTGGTTACCGCCAGCGGGTGGCTGCCGAAAACACCGAGACAGAATCCCCACACCGGCGGCTCGGTCTAACCGCATTTGCATCGCCACCGATGACCCATATTCACGCTCTTTCCTCGGCGATACACTAACAGCGGCGGTTCCTCATGCTCACTGCCCCCGTCGTCCCCCTCGTCGCCCCCTCTCGCTTTCCTCTCGGGCGGTCCGTTCTCCCCTGTCGTCCCGGTGCCTCTCAGCCTCTCCCCTCGCTCCCTCTTCGCTCTCACCCGCGATTTTTCGGCTGCCGCGCGGCGGCGGCGGCGGCGGCGGCGGCGGACCCTCCTGCGCCCGCACGGACCCTCGCATCGAGCAACGATAGTCACGCGCGATTCGTTCATGTGCCGATGCGCGATGCAAGCCGGTGATTCGGTTTTGGCCGGCGCATATAGCCAGTCAGTCAGTCAGTCAGTCAGTTAGTCGGCCCAGTGCTCGCAAGACTGATGCGTGTTTCGGACATATACACGCACACATACACGCACGCACACGCGCATCTCGCACGCACGCACGAGCGAGTTCTCAAAACTACTCTCGCGCCCGCGTTCACGCGCCTCTTACGCACGTTTCGAGATCCCGGTTGATACCAGTCAGTCGGTGATACAACACAGTGGACGACACACGTGGATTATGCGCCGCGAGGACACGTGCGCGCGGTGCCGAGCGAGCTTATCGTAGCGCTCTCAGGTAGGCGCAGAGCCACCTGACGCGCGGCCCGCTTACGCGAGGACGGAGGATAGAGCAGATAGCGGATGCATCTCGAAGTGGCCTTGTTAGTGGCCGTGATACCTCGCTGTATGTTGTAAGGTCCGTGAATGAGGCCGGAGCAGCGGTTACGTGGTCCCGCACTCGTTGACACGCCCCTGCACCGGTAGGTCCTCTCTCTCTCTCTCTCTCTCTCTCTCTCTCTCTCTCTCTCTCTCTCTCTCACACTCATACACACGCACATTCTCTCCTTCTGTCTTCTGTTTTCGCGTTTGGCCGCTTTTATCGCGGCCGCGTTGCGGAAATGCGGTGGAATTTTGGACATGGCGCCCGGTCGGCTTGATGCGATCGCGGTTCCGCTGTTGCGTGATAGAAGCTTCCCATACGACCGCGATTTTGGACGGGAAGTAGCCGTGGCCCTCTCCTCGACGCTCAGCGCGCGATACTCCGACCCCGAACTCGCACGTCCGACAGTTTTTTCTGTCACGATAATAAATGTATCCAAGGGAGAGGAGTCAGTAGGTCGAGAGAGGTATGTCATGTTCGCGGTATCTCGAGGTTATCAAAAATTCAAGCCAGAGTGACTGCCTGTCGACAGTGCGATCTGATATTCTTCGCGGGTCGTTCATTGACGGAGCGGCCTCGCATATTGATACTTGGCGACTTGGAGCGTAAACGCTGTCGTAGGATTATCTATCGGCGAATGGTGGAGTTATCTATCGCGAGAAAAGGCTCTCCAAATTGTGACATCTTGTGTGCTGCGCGTGACATAACGCACCAACGCGGAACGTCATCTCCCTCCCCCTTCCACACAAACGTTGTTTACCGCTTTTCGAAACTCGCCGGCAATTTCGTCACTTTTAATCGAGCACTCGCCTCGTTTTCGCGCGGATACGCCAACTGACAATTGCCCTTCGACATCCTTACGCACGATGTAGTGAATTCTTTCTCTCTCTTTCTCTCTCCTTCTCTCTCGTCACGTCGCGAGAAAGAGAGATCGGCCGATAATCGAGACTGCTTTTTGCGTAGCTGGACGAACAGTTGGGCACGAGCGCGATCAAGAAGGTAAATACGCATTGGAAGGTGGCAGCGAGAGGGGTGGTGAAGGTCACGGAGTTGAATCTAAGGGTGGCATCATGGACTCTGATCAGCAACAGTTCTGCCTCAAGTGGAACAGTTTCGGCACGAATCTATTAACGGCATCCTTGAACTTATTCAAAAACGAGAGTCTTACCGATGTCACCCTGTTCTGCGAGGGTAAGTTTCTTAACACGTGAACACGTTTCTTAACGATTCTTACGACAACTTAGTGCGCGATCACGATTCAGAATATAATCGTTCGATGTGACACTCTCTTTTCTTACTCAACGAGAGGCATTTCGAGGCATGTGTCGTTAACAATTAACCTTAGAGCGCGCACACTTGCGTGTATACATGCACAATCTCGGTATCATTATCTTGGTATTGGTACATAGAGAAAGCAGTACAGTTGACCCGGAAATCCGGTTGTGCTAATCAGATTCATTGGTAAAATACGGAACAAATGATTATATAGTCGCTGCAGTCACAGAACAATTGTTGAGTTACTGGCGTTGCAGCAGTGATGTTATCTGGTTACTCCAGTCGGTATATCTATTGTAAATGTCACCCCAACAGATCTCTGGTTATCACAACTGGATCACGCACAACTGTATTGTTGCAGTTAATGTGTACCAAAATAACTCATATCAAACATATACATCACTATCACGCAAAGATAATTAGAATGATGCGACTATACTATTCACAACTAATACTGCAATTCTAAACAGAATTGTAAAATTCGTAATTTGCTCTCGTGAAATTTGTGAAAAAACTTATGAGTAGATCTATAATTCTGTACGTATCATATGTTGTATGATCACTTGTAAATATCGTAAATTACGTAAAATCGTAGATGTTTACTTGTGATCGTATGACATACAATATGTGTAGAATTGTAAATCTACTTGTAAGTTCTTACGAATTTTACGAAAGCAAGTTACGAATTTTACGATTCTGTTTAATTGCAATTGAATTGCAGTCTAAATATCTGTGATTACATGTGCATCTTATTGCACATCTGTAGTTATATGTGTATCTTATTTCTCCCGTCTACAAAAGTTCGAGAAATAGGTAGTAAAAATAGTAATGCGTCCCTAATCGTAAACATCAGTTAGTATTCGGTTGATTGTTCGGAGGCCTTGACTTCTTGGTCTCACTTATGCAGGCAGAGGGTCGATGCTTGTCAATTGGAACGCACAAAGAGAAGCGCGTAGTCTATTGAACGTGTAAATGTACATGTGCAACAGCTCGAGATGTCGCACACATATATTCTTATCTAATCGAATCAAACGACGAAGCTAGGAGAGTAAGTGGAGAAAGAGAGAGAAGGAGAGTCTCGTATCTTTTCGCACGTCATAGACTCCTAGACTTTCACTTTTTCGACACTATTCATGGCACTCGAGCATCAGCAGCAAACATCAGAAAGTTCTTCACCGTTATCCGCTTGAGAGAATTCCAACAAACAACTCTGCTGTAATAAATCGAATGTACCGGGCAAATGAACGATTAATGGCCATTCATTCAAGGAACTCACAATGATGCAAATTAACTCGATATTCAATAATTTCCCAATTCATTCAAATGTCATACGAGTCTCACGCCAAACACACCGCGAGCGAATTCTTGCATCACACTCATCCCGCGAATTTGTACTTCTAACGAGTTAGATCACGTCCTCGACTTGTTTTCTTAACCAATAACTTATTTTTTAAATTAATCACAGCGATAATAATTGAATGAATCTTCTTACTAGCTTTTAACGGCATATGAAGTAAAAAATCCCATAAGCTCCAATTTACAAATTTCTGACAGAGGTATGAGATAGATATGTGACAGAGATATTCAATGAAAATAACTGATGGACGATTGATAGAAATAATAGAATCGCAATGGAAGATTTCTCCTCCGCGCAATGTAACAGTTAAATTTTGACAGGAATAAGGTCTTTAAAAGCCAATGCTTGATGTTTTTTGCAAATATCTATGATAGGGAGGATAATAATGTTTGTCAAAATGCACACACCGAAATGATTTTCCGATCTTTACAACGTACGCGATGAATCAACCTTCTACTAACAAACCAACCCTAAATCTTCTAATATTTTATTATAATTATTATAATGATCAAAAACCCTCTTATTTTGATACTAGTATTAAAAGATATGGAAGATTGATTCATCGCGAACATTGTAAAGACCGGAAAATCATTTCGGCGCGTGCGTTTGACACTGCAAACATTATTATCCTCCCCATCTTAGACATTTGCAAGAAACATCCAGCATCGGCTCTTATTCCTGCCAAAATTTAAGTGTTACCTATAGAGAGCCTTAAGATACTTATTTCAATGTAACAGTCATTTTTGCAGTGCAAAAACCGATCCAGAGCCTCGCCACGTTCCGATTTGCGTCGCGTCCGACCACGAGCGCGCTGTACCTACTAGCGCGAGCCAGGCCGCGTCGAGCTCGCGCGCTACCACTTGCACCACTCGGCCGCAAGTAGTACAAGTTCGCGATTGCATACGAAGTGCAGGGGGTAGATTGCCGGCCGGCCCCTACCCCCGAATGGCGTGCACCGAGTCGGTGATATGCACGCGAATCTCGGTCACTGCGGGACGAGGCGAGGCGTGGCGAGGCGAGGCGCGACGCGACGCCCGAGTGCAGCGTGCGTGCATGTGCACACACACTTACACACGCGAATTTCCGTGTGCGCCTTCCCCACCGACGCAGCGAGTGCAGCGACGGCACTTTTGCGACCCGTCCGCGCGAAACCGCAGTTCGCACCGAGCCGTGCTGCAACGCGCTCGTCCTAGAGTTTCGACGAGCGTTCGACTGCAGTGCGCATTACGAGACAAGTTAACGTCACGAGGCAGCTGCGTCGTGTGTTCTGATTGATTGATTGAGCGCGTGAAGTACGCGGAAATCGATCGTGACCAAGTGAGATGAAACCGCTCCGACGAGGTGTGTGCCGTGCCTGGAAAGTTTTCCCTTTTTTATTCGGGATTTCGCGTTGATTTGCGTTGATCGTTATTATGCGTGAAATAGAAGCACGCGCCGTGTGTGTTTGTGAATGAATGTTTGGGGAGCTACGCTACTGCGATGTCGATAAAATTCGGAAAGATTTATCAGTGGAAGTGATAAACAGCATGTGGAGCTAGATATTCATTTCTTTATCGCTGAATAAACAAGAATGTGCAATTTCGCGACGAAACTCTCGCGCGGTTCGTCGACGTGCCATCGGTTGTCCAGCTTGAGACGTGACAGGTATGTGATTGAAGGATACAATTAAATATCACATGACAGACAGGCACACGCGTCTGTGTATGTCAAGCCTAGACTAGATATACCGTTCGGCGCAGTCGAAAACATTCCGATCGACCAAGTAATCTTTATTGCATACGACGGACGTAGAATTGGTCGAGTTAATTGGCTAGTTGGACCGCCACTTGTCACGCGAGTGTCCTTACCATAATGACATTCGTGGTCATTTGGAGTGGCGGAGTCTCTTCTCGACGAAGCGACGATGCCACGGTTATCTTCCGATGCAATTACGATGCCTGCGCCGATGTCGTGTCTGTCAGATGATTTATCGTGTAATAACTCTGTAACGTAAACGACATTCTTCGATCGCACATTAATCAGTGACGTCTTAATCGGTTACATCTCGGCTCGGCACGATTACGACACGGACTCTTTCGGACGTCTCGTTTCGGCCTTTTGTTACTATCAACGCGTGTTAATTTTGTATGCGTCAAAATTAATGCATTATTTAGAAATTAATTCAATCTCTCTCTTTATCTCTTCTACGCGGATGATTTATTATTACTGCCATTTATGGGAGTTGGAGAATGCTTTATATCTTTGGTAAACGCTGACATTGCAACCCATATTATAAACTGGATCATCACATCAACCTCAACACGGATAAGAGCCAGACAATTCTTTTTAAAATAGCTGGATGTAGCGAGTTGCTTTTGGCACCAATGCCTTGCCGAAGATTCGAGTGAAACATTCGACTATTTAGCATTCCAGTAATTCAAATATAATGAATACACTTTCATGGGAACACCAGCCTACTAACATGTGCAAGAAAATTAGGACCACGTTATACCAATTAAAACTTCGTAGACAATCGTTCACTGACTCTCTCAGCAAAAGACTGGTGCTTACTTTGGTTTATCTACATCTGGACTATTGTTACTGTGCTCTGACTGACTTGACTAATGAGCTGAACTTGAGAATGCATTGAGCAATAAATACATGTGTCAGGTTTATATTTAGCATCGGAAGGAACGAACATATCACTTTTTATGATAAAGACCTACAATAGCTTCCTATAAATACGAGACACAAGTATTTTATAGGCTGCCTTATATGTTGCATCATTCAGAGAGAAGAGAGCAGAATTCTTGTTTAGAAAATTTTCTTTTCGTAGTACAGTCTCTGTTCGAAGGCTGCATCGGACCTTCTGGTTATCTCAGAGTTGCATACGGAACAGTATAAATGTTCCTTCGTTAGTATCGCCATTAGAGTTCGGGACGATGTTCCCGATGATTTAAGATTAGCTAGATTTTTAGATATTTTCGTCTAGTTTCTATGACTTTTTATGTTGGAAACTTTTAAAATATGATGTTTGCGTTTACTGATCTCTGGTTAACGTAGATTAAATTGATAAAGATATAAAGACGTAATGAAATTCTTACACATATATTATTAAGATTACATAAATATACTTATTATTATTGTATTACATAAATATACTTATTATTATTGTATTAATTTACAGTTTGTATAATATGTACCTTTTTACCGAATTTACGTTATATTTCCGTTGACGCTTGAGAAGACTACGTCTTTGAAAGTACTCAATAAATAAAGCATCTTTCTTTTTCTCTTTTTCGTATTTCTTCATTGATAAAAAGATCTAGAGGCACGTGCGGTACGTAAATCGGCAAAAAACTGACGTGGGTGTGAGCTCGCGTGTGTGTGTGATTAAGCGAACTAACGTCGCGTAAATAGTGTAATTTATCACGCACTCATATCTATATCCGACACACAAACCGGATAAGCATGCCGCATAAAAACGATAGCGCGCACACTATCTCCTGCAGTTATGCCGCAAATATAACATTCGCTGACGAAAAATCAGCCGAATAATAAGTCACTACCGTATACTTTT